CTCCTATTCATCAGTCTTCTCTTCTCAAGTCCATCCGCACCTCCTACAATATATTTCTACTCTCCAAGGATTCCAAGAATCAAACCATTGCGCAAGGGACACTGACGCAAATGATTCATCACGTATTTAGTCGCATAAACATTAGCAGTGAACCCAAGTTTGAATTACATGCAGTGACACGAAAAAAAAAATCGAGAGATCATCAGGACAACGCTTCGACTATTATTGTGAATGAAAAGTCTGACGATGCTAATCTGGAACACGATCCTGATTTGGGTGCAAGAGAAAATGGCGACGAATTTGATGTGCAGTATGGCGAGGGACAGAATAGTAGGAAGGGTAGTCTGGATGAAGAAAGCGTCTTTGCTGAAAATTGTCAGATTCCTGTGAAATCAGAAGGTACCGATGAAAGTCTTGGTGAGGAAGGCGTCCTTGCCGAAAATGATCTCAGCTTGGAGGGGGGGGCCAACGGTGATGTTTCACCGGGGAATGTGTCGACGCCCATTAAATTGGAAGGCGAACATGCATTGGAATTTGGTCAATGGAATGATGCTCAAAGGGTGGATGACGAAGTTACGAAAGCTGTGGAGGCTTTTAAAAACCCGGAGAGTGTACCCGCCGAAGAAAAAGTGACTCTGTATGTATTTACTACTTTGAATTATTAGAAATGAGTTTCCGAATTATTTTTCCACTTATATATATATATCTCTATCTATTTTCAAAAAAAAGTGGGTCTCTTGAAAACCGACAATCATTTGAAGCCGAGCAAAGCGACGATTGTACAGACAAGGAGGAACTTTTTATAAAAGACGCGTTCCTAGTTTTTCGTTCTCTGTGCAAGTTATCAATGAAAACGGTGTCAACCACCGATCTAAAGTCGCACTCGATGCGTTCAAAACTTTTGTCGTTACACTTAATATTAACTATACTGAGTTCACACACAAACGTGTTCCTATCTCCGAACGTCCTGATAACATCTTCCACGACGCACGAAAGAACTTTATTTGTTCAGGCGATAAAACAATATTTGTGTTTGAGTTTGAATAGAAATGCCGTTAGCCCTGTGCCTCAGGTGTTCGAGATAAGTTTGGAAATATTCTGGAAGTGTATGAGTAAACTGAGGAGTCATTTAAAGGTAAATTGGACTCTTTCGTTCGTCTAATTTTGTTTGGTCAATCATTTCACACAAGGTTCTTTCTTCAGAAAGAGATTGAGGTATTCATCAACGAGATATTTTTGCCAATTATGGAATTGAGGAGCTCTTCGATGAAACAAAAGTATGCGCTCATGAACATCCTCGCGAGAATTTGCAGTGACCCCCAAACCTTGGTGGAGATTTATTTAAATTACGATTGCGACAGAGAGGCATTAGATAACACTTACGAACGGTAAGACAGGCGCACGAGTGGGACTC